TTTTCAACGGAAACACAATATAATTAATAATTTGTAAAATAGTTTTATTATTTAGTAAAATATTTAAATGACATGAAAGTGGTTTGTAATAAAAACACACTTTTCATATTAAATACAAACTAATTGTTTACTAATTTCTAGGTTTTGAAACTCATTTTGAATTAATAAATAATAAGTTAACGTCTCATTAAAATTTATAATACATTATTAAATTTTAATAATTATTAGGCTATGACACATTATACTTGTAATTCAAATGTAATACCAGCTCTCAATCATGCTCAAATCTTAAAACTTTTCTATTAGATAATTGAACTCGGAAATAACCAAAAAACTTTACAAATTATAATAATAAATAATAAGTATTTTTATTATTATCGCAAAATGTTTATTAACTTTAATTTTTTCCATTCAATCATCAAAAATAACAGACAATCTCTCGGTTGGAGAGCACCGGCCGGTTCTCCACATAAAATTCAATTAAATATTTTGATTAAAGTTATACTCAAAAGATTATGCAATGAAAAGCATGTATTTATAATTTACATCTGCTTTTTCTCTAATACATATGGAAAACAACTTAATTTGCATTTTAGTAGTAATTATAATTAAAGATTGCAATAAATTTCATGTATATTCTGTGCTATAAGTGAGAAATTATCTGATTATGAAATATAACTGAAATATATTTCATGAGATTCACAGCAATATCTATTCACATAATCTTTTAATCTATTTTTTCTAACATTTATTTATTATAATTAATGTTTCAATATTTGAATATTTGGTTTAATATTTTTAATTTTTACATAATCTGTAAATATATTTGTCTCTCCCGTAAAGGCATTCATAGGGAGAACCGGTATTACAACAAATCACAGACACATATCAATCAGTGAAATAAAACAAATATAAATGCATTATAAATGTCAGGAGTGTTTCAGACATTCATCAATTCTAATGAATTACAGTTATTATGAATTAAATTTTCTTATAATCAAAGAGTAAATATGAAAAATAAAATATAAAAACTATAATAAGATTAGCAAAAAACAATAATAATATTACAGTATTTAATAAATATTATCAACCAATTGGGTTGACATTAATTGACTGATAGTTATAATAAGTTGACAAAGTTGCAATTAAAATGTTAGATCTTACAATTGTTTGTTATAATATATATAGTATTTACTCAAATAATATGGATTTTTGGGGGAAAAATTACTTAAATTATTTAAAATTCAAACAAATAATTACTTTGTGACTAGGTAATTGATACTGAACAGATTTTACAAATCTAATGGCTGATAACATTAATTAGATACTGTACTACACGAGAGCTTACGAACACAATCTGAACAATGTTAAAAAGTATATAAAACAAAACAATACCTGTTTTCATGTATCGTTGGATTGACTATTAATTAATTGAAAAAACGAGTGTTTCTTAACGAAACAGTTTAACTAATTTACATCAATAACTCATTTATATGGAGAGAAAACATGGTCTAAAAGTCCAATCCTTTATAAATGGGCCGTCCGTTTCACTAATTAATTTCTAATACATAAAAATTTTTCATTATTATAATATCGCAAAAATACTTTCCAAACAAACGGCTAATTATAAAGTGGTTTAATATTTTTTTCTTGTAATTAGTTGTCGACAAAAACACGTTACCTAAAAGTCAATCACTTTGTGGGTAATAATCACTTATATTTTACATGAAATTACAAACAAAGCTTTAATTTATGCTAAAATAAACACAATTGCATAAAACAATATTCGTTGTTAACATTACTTATTAATACATTAAAACAATAAAATAAATGTTTTTAATGCTTGTTATAAAAGCCTAAATTTTATGATGGTTATGTTGTTTGTCGGTGCAAATGGTTTTGTTCAGTCAATAACCTAACCATACAATTTGCTAGTTAAACAATAGTCAACATTTAGCACTAAATCTCATCATTTAATTATTAAAAAATGAAACTTTTAAATAATCGTATCATTAATAACATTGAATTAATGAGAAGTGGTATAAAAGTAAAATTGTTTTGTGATATGAATTATTAAATGCAATAAACAATAAGAGACTGAGAAAAGAGATATATTTAATTGTGAGCCAAACCTATTGCAAGAATTATCACATATTGTTTGTTTGTTTTTGCTATTATTTATCTCAAATTCATCAATATTTATATAAATATCTACAATATATAAAAGAATTAGTCATTTATTTAATTCAATACAAAAAACACAAAAAAGTAAATGAACTCAAAGAATACAAACAATAATTATTGTATTAAATAGTCTTCTGTTTCGATGTAATTGTTAACTATATTTTGCAATTAATTCAGTCGTTAAGGCATTGAGTGAAGTGCTAAATGTTTTACTAATATTTGCTAAAAGGCTATTAGATTATGAAAATTATAAGTTTTTGATAAGTTTTGTTTTACTCAATCATTGAGAGAGAGAGAGAGAGAGAGAGAGAGAGAGATGGAGAGGNGATACAAGAAAACAATTAATCCGCTCTCAAAAGACTGTGTTTAGTGACTGATCTAATGATAGCTTCAAAATATCTCATTCTTCCGATTGTACGGCAAATGTTAATGTTTTCAATAAGAGAGAGAGAGAGAGAGGTGTTTGAAAAACAAAATTTAAGTGTTTATCGAGTTATCGGTTGGGTTTTGCTGTTTTTGATTTTAAGTAATTTCAGGGGATGTGAGGGTCAGTATAGATAAGCTCACCGATAGTTACCACGTTAGGCTATAATTTCATAAAATTAAACATTTATTAAACTTTTACTTTTTGTTTATAAAATATGAAATATTTATCATTTATTTGTCAACAGCAACTAGACGCTTCGGATTATATAAATAATGATTTAACTAAATAATTTTAAATATGCATCTAATAACATGTTGTCAATAAATTCTAGCATTACTTTTATTTATTACTGGAAATATTTAAATAGTATTTAATTCATAATAGTATTCATAAGAAATGGATATTGATTTTTACCATTCAGAGCATTGTTTGCTTATTTATGTTATATAATTACTTAAATACTTGAGATATCCTTAACACAAATTTGAAACCAAATTTTAGTTTATAGTAAACACTAATTAATATAAGTTTTATATATTGATATTGAAATAAATTGCTATTTGAGGAAAACAATAGATATTTATTTATCAATTCAATAGTAAGTGTATCTAAATATTTGCATTTTATATAACTATTGCCTCAATAATTATTTACTGATTAGACACTTGAATGCATTACAACATCCATTAGATCATTGATTCCTGAATATTGTTTATGTAATACAATATCTATTAGTTCTTCAATGAATTATTTAACACCAATTGATGGCCAAATTGATTACGAGACTAATTAAAATATAATATTAGATATCAATTTATAAATAGATTGATTAACACATAATTAAATTCCAGTGCATTGAATATAATAACAAAAACATCGGTTATTATATTCAATGCATTATTTATAATTACAAATATAAAGGATATCTTAACTAATGCCTCAAAATAATTCAATTCACGGTTTAGTGTTTAATTATTTAGTATTTTAGCAATTTTTACAATGTTATTATAAATTGAATTTTAATTTAATCATTAAAGAATTTTATATGAATTTGAATAATATAACAATTTGTAATATTTGTAAACAAAAATATATAAATTTTATTAAGGTCAATACACCGGTGCGAGAGTAACTCGGATACAATACCTGGATTGTATTTTCAAACAATGTTGGTGATTTTGGCATCAGATTAGTTTGTATTATAACATTATTTTTGCTAATTTAATTTAAATGAAATTTGTATTTATTTAATTTATTTGTTTTATATATAAAATAATGATTAATTACTTGTTTATCATAACCTGTAAATCTCTGCCAAATATTTAAGATAAATGTTTATTTATTAAACAAAATTATTAATAATTAAAAATTTTAAAATACTCTAAATGCTAAATGATAGTTGTATCATGTTCATTTAATTATAATATGTGCCGTGAAAAACAAATAAACGTTATTTTAGGGCATAAATCATAAATATGCCAAACAAGTCAATACAATATATCATATTCCCTGACAAATGAAATTCTTAATGATTTATTTGCATTTTTAAACATTATATAAAAATAAGACATAAATTAGCCCTAAATATTTGGGCGTTTTATATAATATTTTGATTTGAATAAAAACTTTGTGAATAGGAATAATAAAATCTTATAAAATGTATAAACAGAATAACGCTGTGAATGATAGACAAAAACGGTATAGAATTTGTATATAAATAACATTATTGTTCATTTGAATCGCTTGAAAAACATTCATAAACTCCTTTTATGATTATGTATTTGAAAATTACAAATACAACCGATTCTTATCATTAAATACTTAAAGTGTTTGTCAGAAATCATAATAATTGTATTTCAAGTAAAATAATAGCATCTCTCTCTCTCTCTCTCTCTCTCTCTCTCTCTCTCTCTTATTGAAAACATTCACATTTGCCGTACAATCGGAAGAATGAGATATTTTGAAGCTATCATTAGATCAGTCACTAAACACAGTCTTTTGAGAGCGGATTAATTGTTTTCTTGTATCGCGAAATGCATTCAAAAGTCAAAAATATGATCAAAAGCTTCTCCTCTTAACTGATGGCTAAACCATGAGTTGAAAGAAAACTATTTTGTTTGCCGTTTACTGTCCTTTCATGCCATACCTGAAGCTCAATCAGTGTATGTATTAAATGATTATTTGTTTGCGAAAGGTATTCAATACCCGGTTGTGTATGTGTTTCGTTCACTCGCTATACTTCTTACGTTTCATACCTATCCGTACGATAACAACACATAAGGCTTTCATTTTTTGTTTCCTTCGTATAAGAAGTCAGAGAACCGGTCTCTGAGTTAGTAATAAATTATGCATTTTATGTACAGTAGAGTCGCTCATAGAGTGAGAAGCGATGACCTTATTCTTAGACCTCTTTCAATACCTGTAAGTCTCTCTCACTCGCAGTCTCTCTCTCCTCAAGCCATCACTGTTTGCCGTCTCTCTCTCCGCACAGTTTTTGGATACCAGAAATATTTTTGCTGGTCGTCTCTCTCGTCTCCCTCTCATACCGTCAGCGTATCGCCCATTCCAGAGCACCTGTGCGTACGTTCAGAGCCTCAGACCTCACAACCATTGAGTGCTGTGTTTGAGGAGACCATAGAGTGTGAGGAAAGTTAGCGTGAATTAGTTGCGCACACCTTTGCCGAAGAGCTCTTCAGCCTAAAGAGTAATTGTCTTCAAAAACCAAACTTCTTGTGCTTTTTTTAAACATCAGTTGTATTTTTCTGTCCGTTCAATACCAGCACTAGTGGTGTGTTTTGAGACGTTTCTCGCAGACAATTATTACTGGATATAAAACCAGAATTAAAAAGTTTATTAAAAACATATCTCTCTTTTTCCAGTGATTTATACCGTGTTTATGAATTAGGAAAAAATGATGAAATTTCTAGTTTATGTGTTATTTTTGTTTTATTTCATGTTTGCCATCGAATCACATCATGTAAGTGGTTGTGTCTCTCAACTAAAACCTCAACTCAAAATGTTTTTACTTCTAATCCGTAATCGATTATGAGATTTGTCTATGAATTCCTTATTTAGCTATTTATGTAATACTCGTCGCATTATTTCCTTCATTTATAAGTTATTAATAGTTATAAACATTTACTGAAAATAGTAATGATATTTTATAAACATTAAACTAACCATTTTCAAAACACTTTAATTGAGTTTTGATTTACAGTCAATGCATGAAAAGTAATTACATTTTCTATTATCCATTGAAAAACTTCATACCATTAGAAAATAGACTTTTGATTAAAAATAACAGTTTTCATTACAAAACTTTTCCCATAATAACTATTCTGTAAAAAGCAATAAATTACATTAAAAACTAACAAATCTTACGTCAAAATACACAGACAAACAACAGAATCTCCGTATACTACGAGTCCATATGTCCGGACAGTCGACGGTTTATACTTAACCAACTGATCCCGACGTACGACAAGTTGAGTCCTTACGTTGACGTCGATCTGATACCGTTTGGCAACGCGAATGTCAGTTACCCTAACCACGACTTCAAGCCGTACTTCCAGTGCCAACACGGCCCGGACGAGTGCTACGGCAACAAAGCGCAGGCCTGTGTCATCGATCTGACCAAAAGCACCCGACCCTCGCTCTCCTATATTAAGTGCATGTTTTCGGCCGACAATTGGAGGCAAACCGCGATCACTGCCCAAAAGGTAAGCAAACGCTCGCATATTATATATAAAGTTAAGCAATTGTGTGATATCTTCTCCGCACACAAAACACCGGTATTTGTATTCACTTTACGTCAACTCCTTATCTCTTTTCTCTGCGTTTTTCTCCTGTTTTTCATACAAACATACGATTCCCTCGCCATTCAGTTCATCGCCTTTTCTTACGACTAATAATAAATAACAGATGAGAGCGAAAAAAGTGTTAAATAAATAATATTTTTACAACTTTTTTAGCAAAAGAGTTTTCTGTGAGAATTTTCTTCCTCTCTTTCAATACTGAATACATTAACGAATTGGCAAATAATGGCTTTTGAATTGACACTTATATTCAAAAAGTTTTTAAATCTATTTGTATACAAAGGGATAGAAATATGTTTATTATTCAAAAAACAAATATCAAAACAAATCCAATCACAGCCTCTAATGATTGGTTTAAGAAATTTATGCTAAAATATATTTCTTGTTTTTTCTGTGTTTAAAAGCGAAAATTTATTCTTTAAATCAAGTATTTATATCAAAAAATTTCAAGTTTAAAAGTTTTGGTGTTTAATATCAAATCAAATATTTATTGAATAAAACATTGATATATATTTGCCAGACGATTACGGAGAGAGAGAGAGAGAGAAGGGTCCATAAATTGGATGTGTGATTCAGAAAGAGACACAAAAAATTGATTAATTCTTGTGGTAATAAATAACAAAATTAAAAACAACTTCAAACGGATAATCAATGAACATATTATAGACTGGAGTGAAGTCACTTCACTGGCACTAACTTTCTATTGAGTGTAAATGATATTTGATTTATTTGATTTGAAATGTATTATAAAACAATTTTCCAAATATTTTTATAATCGGTACTAAAATATTAGACCTTTTCCTAAATGTTATGCCATTTGAAAGATTGTTTTTCCCTTCAGTTAACAAACTTTTAATATAAATTCAAAACTCGAAGCGCTGTTTAGTGTGTAATTCTTGAGATCCATTGCCAATCGTTATGTATTATATACTGGTTTTCATAAATACTGATTTGATTCCCAAATGACAACAACTTATTATATATTCACTCAATACTATTCACATCCAAGTCTTGCAACAACTTTTCTCTGACTTTTTTATTATATTTGCTTTCGGGCTATGATTTAATTAAACTTAAAAACAGATATTTTTTCTATTTCTATTGATTTCGTATTAATAAATTTAGTCTCTCT